CGGTTTCTAGGCCATGCGCTGCTATCTATAAACCCCTGCGAGCTTCTCTCGCCCCCTTCCCCCCGCCTCGCCCCTCATCCTCTTCACCCCCACCTCCACGATCCTACCTACACCACCTACGGAGTTAGAGCTGCACCTACACTTCCATACCTAGGTCACCTTCCCTCCTTCTTTCTCCGTCTCTCCACCGCCATCTTTCTTTGTCCGACTCGAGCGGAGGCTCTCGCTTTCGCCTCGTAGACGCAACTATGATATGGCGGTATACGTTTTTTGTACGTTTCGAATTCTAACGAACGAACGAGGGATGAAGGGAGAGGAAAGAGGGGGTCGCGAAATAGAGGGATCTGAAATTTCCTGTTCCGTGGATTGGCTTGAAGGATTGCGCGCATATGAGTGTGTGTGTGTGTGTGTGTGTTGCTTGGATGGTAAAGTAGATATCGAAGGATCGAGTAGCTGTTGCATTTTCCCTTGTTGAAAAATGCTCGAATAACGTTTATTCGTAGCCTATTACGATTGATTCGCTTTTCGTATTGAATCTGTGAGGAGGAAACAATTGTATGGCCGTTCGGCGATTATTATCGCGTTTTACGACAATAAATTATTTGTTCGTAACTATTAAATTTTGATACAAATAATCACTGATGCAAATAAAGATTAAATAGGAAAACAAAAAATAGACAGATATGCTTGGGATCGAGGAAAATAATAAAAGTGGAAGAGTCGTTTCCACATTTTAAAATAGAATTAAGCGCGTGTGTCACTTTCACCAATGGGTTACCAGTTATCGAGAGGAGAATCGTCGACCGATTGTTCTTCATTTCTGGATAGAGCAGAAATAGTAAAAGGAGGGAAGGTAAAATTCGTTAAAATCGATTCACAAACTGTATATATCGCCTTTTGTATCATTAATCGCACGGGTATAATAAAAGTGATTGCAATGCTAAAAAATTAGCGTACCGCGTGCGGGCCTCGATTTAAATGTAAAGGCTGGCGAGAATTGAGAATTCATTCTCAACGTCCTTGACTTTTTCATTCCAAATATTCCAATAATCAATGATTTTACATAACCATTAATTAATATTAATAAGCAGAATCGTTTATATATTTATATACTTCTTCCCCAAGGATATATCATAAATTTTGATCGTTCGCCTCGTGAATCGTAATCGTATCGTGGCGAAAACTTGTGCAATCGTTGCGGCGCAAGATCACGGAAGTGTAATATTCGCGGTTTGGTGGAACGATTTCGATATCGAGGTGGGCATCGGCCTCGGGCAATTTGGCGCTTAAACTTGACAATGGGCAGCCGAACGAGCTGGACTTGAAACGGTGCGAATAATGCGATACGCGTGCACGCACTATTATCCGTGCTCCTTATGCGGTTATACAACGCGTGCACGCGTGTCAGGCTTCGACGACGAAAGTGCCGCGCGGAGACCGTCCGTCTCCACCGATCGCTCTCTCCTCGCCAGCGGTTCTCATCTCTATTTGAATATCAACAAGTTGGAAAATTTTTACCTTGCCAATATTCGTTACGTAATTTATCGCTGTAACTCGACGTATACGACGTTTGGCTTTGACGTTGTCAATTGGAATTTTGCATTCCCGATGTTTGTACAGAATTATGGTATATAATAACTTTCGCTTCTTCTTCGATTTTATTATCGTTCGTTTAGAGAAAGGCGCGAAGATGACGGCTCGCTCAAACGATTACGAGGCATCGTTCTTTTCGTTTGTTAAATGTTAAAAACGAGGCGTCTAAAATTGTAGGAGAAAGGCGTTGAAAAATAAAACAAATTTAAACGATAGTTTCGTTATTGTCGAGACGATTGTTCCGTTTACCACGTATTAATCCATTCAGATTTCGAGCAGAAACTTGTAAGCTTGTCGCGCGATACGTACTCGGCACATGGGACGTTGTCAAGCCCACGTTGCAGTATCGATTTCCGTGCTACTCGTCAACTGATTAACAGCCAGCGTTACAATTCGCGCATCCGTTGAAACGGGGTGATGCAACGACGCGCTTATTTTACGCGCGTTTTTCGTTACATCATCCGGAATGGAATAAATCTCTAATGGAAAATAAAGCGTTCCGTTTTATGTAACTTATTTTCAAATTTATCGCTCGAATTTGATCGAAACGAACTTGGAATTTATATACATCGAACGAAACTTTACGTTCGATTAACATTTTAACGGATAAACACGGTAAGAAAAGTAGAAATGGAAATCCTTCTCTATCTATTCATGAATTTTCCAATAATAACAAGAGTTCACGTTACAATACGATAATTCGAATAAGAACAAGTATCGAGTGAGTGAGACGACGACGTTAATTCTTATTCGGTTTACAGGATCGGGGAGGCACGAAAGGAAGCGATATAGGCGCGCGCACACCTCTCCCCCCTCCTCTCCAACCGCGCTCGTTTCGCGGCAACGGTTGCTTTAACGACTTTCACTTAAGCGTCCGACTCGCTTCCTGAATGCATAGACCGGTCTGCGATTCCACGATCGAACTAGGAAACGGCGGAGAGAGACGCGGCTTACGTAAACACCGTGTTCTCGACTCGTGTCGAGATTTTTCGATCTCGGCGCGTTCAAGCACCGTTCAACACCCTGTTCAAGGACGATCTGTAAAAAACTTTTGCCTCTACCTTTTCCCGCGAAAGCAAAATTTCGAAAATGATCGAAACGGGGAGGGCGATCGATACAGAAAAATTAGAAGAACAACGAAATTAATAAGTTACGTTAAATAATCGTAATGCCAAATGGCCGCTACACGATAATAAAGTGATTTTGACTTTTCCTGAATTCTGAATAGTAAGAAGCAAGGTTTTTATTTATTATGATATTTGACTTTTCGTTCTCATTGTAATTGCCTCGAGAAAAAGAAAGAAAATAGAAGCGGTTCGTGTTGTAATAATGCGAGTAGGAGGATCCGCGTTCGCATAGAAAAGAAAATTTAAGGAACGCTGTCTCGTGTCTATCTTTATCCAGTTGGTAGAAATAAGTGTCCGTCCACCCTGGCCTTCCCTCTACCTAGAACTACACCACACTATCGTTGCTTGGCCGCTCTTGCTCGAAAGTAGGTGGGAAAGTAGGTGAGAAGGTGATCGCGAGAGCAGAGGGAGAGAGAGGAAGAGAGAGAGAGAAAGAGGAAGAAGAGTGGAGGCAGACAGAGCGTTAAATAATCGGTTTAATTGGGTTATGCACGAGGAAGTGACCTATGCGAAAGGCTTGAACCTCGCGGCTCGAGACCTTCTGCTCGCTGCTTTGCCTACGCTCCCGCTACTCTCCCTCCCTCCTTCTCTCTTTCTCTCTCTGCCTCCTCTTCCGTTCGATCTACCCTAATGACGCGCACGGGAATTTATTCGGCCCGAACAGTGGCTCTCAATTGTCGCGATTCCATTTGAGAGGGTTTCGCCACCTTTCAAAGGATTTAACGAAGCTCATTGTCCGTTCGCTTTGTTCGAATTGAAATCAACATTGGTCAAATGTGCGTCTCTGTTTTATTGAGTTTCAGCTCATCATCGTGTGTTTACTGCTGGATTAGATGTTGATGCACGAGTATATTTTACTCGAGCAATTATTATTGCTATATAGAACAGGAAAAAAGAAAGACTTTTAGACGATGAACGATTTATCATGGAGCAAAATTAAATTTGAATGTTCTTTTTTTTTTTTTTTATTATTTTATTTTATTACTTACTATTGATGGATCGATACAGGAATTATATACTTTCCAATTCGTCTATCATTCTTTATTGATACGTAGTTGGCCATTTTTATTATTCATCGATCTCCATTAATTATAATCGGTTTATCGTTTGAAAATTTTCAACTCGCTGTAACATTTTCTTTTCCTCGAAATTTTTCAGGATCAATATCAATACGATTAATTATTCCAATTATCGTTGAAATTCAATTTTCATCAATCGAGTCGATAATTTCATTCAACAGATTAATTTTTTTTTTTATAAATCGACGAATTCTTCGAAAAAGAATCTTTTAACCTCCTTATATCCTTCCTTCTATCCTTAGTTAGAAATAATAATAATCTCAGTTTCCAGCATTCGTCGATCGTGAAACGTCCACCGGTCAAATTCGAGGGCGTGTTGGCGATCGTTTCGCGCGGATAATTCGGGCGGAGCTTTCCACGGTTCGGGGGGGAGGGGGCTTTCGCTTTCGCGTTTCCCCCCTCCTCGACTCTCTTCCCAGGCAGCGCGCTTCTATTACCACGGTCGGTATTAAATAAGCGGCTAATCGAGTTGCGCAACAGGAAGCGAAACGACGCGATGAGTTTTCACCTGAAACGTCCTTCTTTCTTTCTTTCTTTCTTTCTTTCGTCTTTTAATCCTTTGCGCTCCAACTCTCGAGAGGTGACTCTCGGTCACCGCTTGGATCGATGCGACAATAGATTCCTAAGCTATTTATGTATAATCTTATAAAGCGTAGAATAATACATCGAGTGGTTAGATTTTTTTTTTGTCTGAAATTAGATCGTGGATCGAACTATATTTTCAGCGTTAATTCGAGTGTTGACGGTCAGTGGCAGTAGAAATAAATTCGAGTTTTCGAGTTTTGTAAGCATGGAATGAAATTGGTTCAAGATGAGTTTGATTTTTCCTTATTAAATTAAACGAAATTATTTCTATTCGTTGAGAAATTGACGATAAAGAGGAGGAAAATAGCGATGTAGTATAAGAAAATGAAAAATAAGAATGATAAAGGATGAATGTGAGAGCACGTTGTTGGGATCGTAAGGTTCCATCTCACTAATTACATTATTATTAAAATATCGCGCGAAACAACAAATATAAACTTTAATATTCGACAAATTTCCTTTCTTCCTTCTACCCAAAGATACGTAAAATATCAAAACATAATAGTTTTATACGTTAATTTACGCGCGAAATCGTTTTAAATTAGTTAAGAAATTCAGCGAACGGGAAATCGTTGTTGGTACTTGGCAAAGGGTTTAACCGTGAGATCGAGGGAAGAAAAATCTTCCTCGAAGCTGGCGAAGTTTCCTCTGCGGATAGATACGGCGCCGCTCTCTCGCCTCCGCTCTCGTGGGATACGCCTACTCCATTCCGTTTGAATCATCGTGCGGCGGTATAATGAAAATATGTGGCACAAAGAGCTCGCGAGCCAGCCGCTACCAAAATAGGACGTGTCTTTTTCTCGCTGATTAGCGATGTACACGGTGTCCCGTTTCCATAGATTCCGTAGATTCAGATAAGAAAGTTAATTGGACGTATAATTTTATTATCTCGCGGCGTGGAACGTGGGTTAACTCAACCGGTTTCGAATCAAGCGTTATTTACGTATATATATATATATAAATAAAATTTCACCGGCTTTTTTCCTCGTCCATCCTCGAAAATTGTCTAAAAGTTTCTATAAAAATTCTCCTTAACGATCTCCGCCGTAAAATCGTCGACAGATAGAAACGAACGACTGCTGGGCTTGGATCGGCTTGAACATACATATATATTCGTCCAATGGAATTCTTCGTTGCCTCTCCGCGTCGATAGATTTCGCTTAGATAAACTTCTGCGTGCACGGATCCGACAAAACTTCTCGTCTTTCCATCCACTTTCCTCGATCGTAACGAGTAACGGTAAATAAAGAAGCATGCTTTCTTTTAGCGACTCGAATCGAAAGGATTCGTGAAATTCGTGAAATTCGTGAAATTCGAAAAGCACACGGCGTTTCGTGTCGCAACGGAACGACGATACGGGGAAGGGGAGGGGGACAGAGGCGAGAAAAGAGTGGGGAGATCCGTCAAGAGCGCAAGATTCACAAGTCGGTCGCAGCGACAGTGGCGGCGACCAAGCGAACGAACGAGTCTGTACGAGTACACACTCTATTAGGATTACGCAACTAGTGAAACTATCCCGGCAGCGTGGCCGTTCCGCTCGTTCCATCATCACGGCCTCCTCTGTCGTTCTATCGGTTCCACCGACCGTTGGGTTGGCCGTTGGCTAAACTCTCTCCCTTCCGCCCCTCCCTCTCTCGAGGAGCAAGAGTAAGTTTATTGCCAAAGTTTTCGGACACAACGACCGCGGATAACCCTGGACACGAGGAATAGGCCATCGCGCACTCGCGCTGCCAGGCCTTTCGCCTTTTGCATCCACGAAACGACGTAATCTCGGGCCCCAGGGTTACTCCCCTCCCTTCTCCTCCCTTTTTCTTTTCCATCTCTCACGCGTCCCTCACGTCACGTTGCACCTCCGCCTTGTTCCAGGTCTGCTCCCTGCTTCGGTCACCGTCACTCGACTTTTCTCTCTCTCTCTCTCTCTCTCTCTCTCGTGGTTCTCCGAACCGGTGGAGCTTGATTTATCGCCCACCCCGCGCCAACAAGATTGCGCAACGAAGAAGATGAGCCACTTTCGAGATCGCGCGTTATTCGTTTTTTTGTTTTGTTTCTCTTTGAACGGAAGGGAGAGAATCGACCAAGTCCAATTTTAGGAAATTCTGTGATATGATGTTTAGGGGATCTATAGATTTTTCCATCGATCTTTTCAAACAAGGATTGAAAGATTTTTATCGAAGGATGGATTGAATTAAAATTTCGAGCGAGGTTATTTGAAGTTTATTTATTAATATAATTGGACTCTCTCTTCGTTATATTTTTGAATTATAAATTATTCAAATAACTTGTCGAAGTAACTTATTGTTTTTTTTTTTTTAATTTTGCCTGTTTCGCTTTCTATGCCAAATTTTCATTTTATAAATCTACGCGAAATGTATATGTTTAGAGAATTTTCTAATCTTTTCCAAGGAAAAAAGAAAAAAAGAAAAAAAAGACTCGAGTTGCCCGAACTCGAAATTCTTAAACAATTTCCTATCCTATCTCAAAAGAATACTATTCACTCTATCAAATATTTTATCGTATCCTCAAAATCATCCACTGATTCATCGATAAAATGAAAGTAACGAAAAAAAAGAAAAAAAGAAGGGAGAAATAATCGGAAATATCTGCGTTGAAACAGTCTCGAGGCGATCTGTAACTGTAACGCTCTCGAGGGAGGGTTACGCGTCGGGGGAGAGCGTTAATCGGCCTAGGAAGATTTATTTTTCGTGAACGGTTCGCCGCCGGCTAGTTTCACTAGTTGCGTAACACAGCAATAGAGACCGTCTAGTAACTACCACTATCGCTGCGACCGACTTGCAATCGAGACAGAGTCGAGATCGCTGCCAGTTAATTCGAGAAAGTTGCAACCGGCCGTAGATCCTGGCCCGAGAGAAGAAAAGCAAACTTACTACTTGCTTAGCACCGCACCGACATCTTTTCTCTCTCGCTCTCCTCTTTTCTTTTCCCTTTTTTTTTTCCTGTTCGAACCGTTGACGGTGCTCATTTCGAACAACTCTTTGAAGAATTTAACATCCTTCTTTCGATCTTCTCGTCTTCGAATGTTTTTTTTATCTTTCTCTCGAATCGAGAAAATTTGTTATTTCGAGTTTGGGAAGATAGGTTTCGAGGTTAAGTTTCTAGAAAGTTTCTGGGTGTTGTTAGTTCTCTGCGCTGATGGGAGTGATAACACGTTCAAAGATTCGAGGATAGAAAACGATGGAATAATTTAGTGATCGGTCGTCGCATCGATTTTCTTGCGATATTATATTTGTGTCAATTTTGTTCATTTTCTCGCTTATGGATTTGGATTTGTTTCGTGAAAATGGAAACCTAACCTCTCTCGAGCGTTCTTCGTTTATTCTTCTTCGTTTATCAATTTAAACGATTATATCAATCTTTTCTCACTTTGAACGATTTGTTTCGCAAGAAACGATCGAGAATGGCAGAAGAAGGGAGCACTTCTGTTTCTATAGGAAAGAACGAAGAGGTAAAAGTTATTCCTAGTGACGATTCTCCGTTTATTAATTTTCTCATTTTGAACGATTTGTTTCGCGGAAAACGATCGAGAGGAGAGGATAGCAGAAGAAGGGATTAAAAGTTATTCAACTAGCAATGATACTTACTGATCCCTCGTTTTATTAATTTTCTCGAATTTCGAACGAATTGTTTCGATCAAGGATGGCATAAGAAGAGAGATATCTAACATTTTTGCACGAAAGAACGAAGAGGTAAAAGTTATTCATAGTGATTCTCCGTTTATTATTAATTTATTATTAATTTTCGAACGATTTGTTGCAGGGAGGAGAGGACGGCAGAGGAAGGGAGACACCTAATTCTCTCGAGCGTTCTTCGTGCATCGATAGGTAATAGTTTCACCAGTTGCATAACGAGCTTGCCGCGCGATACACGTTGTCGAACCGCGTTGTAAACGGACCCTTTAAACGGATCCAAGAATATTTATTCGTTTCACGAAATTAAATAAACTATGCATTGTTGAAACGCGATAGATTCGTCCGATAGATTCGTTTTTGGTAATAATAATAATTCACGAGAAGTCTCTCGTTAAATTTCTCTTCGAATTTAAAGAGAGATAACTTATTTATTACGCGAGGAAGGAAAAATTGGAAATACGATATCCCACAATCTCGTTTCGTTCCTCGAGATTTATGCGAGATCGATATTAAAAAACATTCGTTAAAATAAAATAAAAAAATCTCGCAGAAGATGAGAGAGAATGAAAAATAAATCGAATTAAATAACCGGAAACATCACATTACGGATCGATTGCATACTTTGTTCCACCGCTCGACATTCGTTGTACACACGTGCCCTTTTCGTGTGTTCCGTTTACAAACGCAAAAAATACACATCGCAAAAATGTTTGCTCGTACAATAATAACGAAGGATCCGTGACGAGATACAAATATATAAATTTAACACGTCGTCAGCGCCGCACTGCGAACCGGTCAAACCATTCTTTTCTTCTCCTCGAGTCAACCAAAAAAGGCCAGAATGACGTAATATAGCATGTAAGTACAATCGAGTAAGAATTCAAGACTCGTATAGAGAGCGGTCTACGCAACTGGAAATCGTATCTGTTTCCCCATCCCCCCCCCTTCCCCGATTACAACCCACAGAAAATCTAAAGTCAAAGCAAATAGCTTTGTATTTCTACAATTTCAACTTCAAAATTAAGAGAAATATTCTCGAATATCCTCTAACGTCGCGTTATTCGACGCGAAATATGGACAGAAACGAGTGTACAAGGAGATGGATCGATTGAGAGCCACTGTGTCATGGCGGCGGAGGCGGAACAAAGACAGCGAGAGAGGCTGGTTATCTCGCTCGCGAAGACGCGTGTATGTACGCGGTTGAAACGAATGCAGAAGTGCATTGCAAGCGGTACGAGCGTGCAGGCTTAGTTTGTAGCTCGCCGGCTGATAGTGTTGCGCAAACGTCATCGAAAAGTTCATGATACAAAGTCACGTTACGAAAACGGCGAATGACGCGAGCGCCCCGTTATACATCGAGAGCGAGAGCGAGACGGACAGCGAGGGAGTGCATCGAGTGAATGTTAATGCCAATTCGAACACGGCTGTAATAATAATAATGCCTAGGCCGCGGCCAGGCGATAGACCACGACAACAATAACGCTTTTTCCTTCCGTTAGAAAACATCATCCGACGATCCTTTTCGACTTTTAGAGGCTTCGACGAGAAAAACTCCTCTTCTCTTTTTTCTCTTATTTTTTTATTTAACCAGAATCGATTGTTACGGTCGTTCAATAGTGGAATACTGAATTCCTCTATTAATGGTTACATCGAGCATAATAGTCGATTTTCTTATACCGACTACAACTTTCTTGCAATTGCATTTTTCTTATATCCAACCGAGAGCAATTAATTGATTGAAAATTTCAATTATCCAATACGTTATTTTAAATCGAAAAAGGATAGGAATGAATGAAAGGAATAGAAATGTTTTGCTATGTCGACTATATTACAATACGATATCCTTCGGTGATATTCGTTTAATCGATTCGAGGGAATTGCATTCTTTTTCGCACAAACAGTGCGAGTGAGTTCTTACGTGGCTACGCAACATGAAAGGAAATGAAAAGGAGTATGAATTATCTTACAAACAAGTTTTAATT